TTTGCATCGAGTTGACGACATTGTCAGACCTGCCGGGTGTTCGAATAAAACTGGTGGAACATGTGAGAATCAGTTTTGTTCATTCAATCACTTCATATGATTTTAATGAGATCCATGTGGAAGGGTTTCTTAAGAAGCCTTCATTTGTTGTGCTATCAGAGTGGAGATTTGTTCGTTAGAAATTTGTGTGCTCTTACGATCATTATTATTGACACTCTCTGTATTTTGACGAGTCGTTTGCTGAAATGTGCGAAAGTTTGTTTTCGTAGCTACTCCGAACTAAGTGAAGAACATTGTTTGGTTAAATGAGTTTGTTGACTTTGAGTCAAATTATTACCTTACTAAAGCGAGGTGAATTCAAATCTGTTCTCGCTCTTTCCAGCTTGCTATAAACTCTTGTGAGTGACCACTCTTAATGTCCCGCGTACAGCCATAGCTATAGACTGTCCAAGCTCAATTTCGAAATCGAACAAAATTTTCAGTTCCATTGAATATCTTTCCGAATATTGTGAATATGCTTGGACAAATGACCGTTGATGTGAATGCAATGTGTCTTGATCCATCGGTCACGTACGTTCTCATGATTGAACAACGAGAGGTTGGCTTATGGCAATCATCTGTCATTATTAAATTATTAATCTCTTGAGCATTTCTCTGAACTGATTAATGTGATATAGAAAGACATTCTTCGTGGGTTCACTAGACGTTAAAAAATTGTACAATTGGACTGGAAGAATAATCATCAGCCATAACATATTGCGAGGATACTTCTGATGTAAACGGAAACTAATTTTGAAAAAATTCTGGTAATTTTGAAAAAAAAATGGTAATGGTTCATTCATAAATTTCAGGAACTATCCACAAAAACAGCTCAATTTATAATTTTACTGACAATCGATTGGATTTTGCAAAATGCATAATCAGATAATGAAATTCATCTCACTTCAGTTCATCAAATGTGCCCAAATGGCGTGTTTGGATAAACGAACGTGCTCATTATGCTTTCATCGTGATCAGACAGTTTTCCATTGCAGACTGCACCATGTGAAGTGTTGAACCCAGCTGTTGCGCGATGTCGTTTACCAAAAATTCTCGACTGGGGAACCAAAACAGTCTATTTTCAACCTCTGTCTGGTTTGGCAAACGATGAAAAAGCTTATATCGGCTATATCTATTTCGGTAATTCATAAGCTGGATTTGGTTAAGACTATTTGGAATTATTTTTTAAAAACTGAAATAGCTCGAAAATAGACAATCCGATTAAACGGTTAATCACTATTGTAAATAATGATGGTTTGTGCTGGATTTCATCCAATAAAAACTTTTTCACTTTTTCAATTATTATTCTTCAATTACTCGTTTTCCCGAAAAATAATATATTTTCCTTCAACATGGTCACATCACGTTTTTGAGAAACGCACAACTGACTGAATCGAAGCGATCAATTGAAGAGCGAAAATTTAAAAGAATTG